AATATATTTGAGCATTTGCCACATCCTGCCACAACACATCATGTTGAACATCTTTTCGTATATTGGTCTGTCATCTGTATATCTTCTTTGGTGAGGTTTCTGTTCATATCTTTTGCCCATTTTAAAAAATTGAGTTGTCTGCTTTCTTATTGTTGAGTTTGAGGAGTTCATTGTACATTTTGGACACAATTTCTTTAATAGATATGTGTTTTGCAAACATTTTCTCTGAGTCTGTGGCTTATGTCTTTCACAAAGCAGAAGTTATTAATTTTAATAAAGTTCAACTTAACAATTCTTTTCCCAACTTCATATTCACTGGTGTCATGTTGATAGCTTGAAATAAGCCATATGGGGATATTTACATTAAAGAAATTGGCAGGCTGGGCATTGTGGCTCAGCCTGTAATCCCAACACTTTGGGAGGCCAAGGCAAGAGGATTGTCTGAGTCCAGGGGGTTGAGACCAGCCTGGGCAACTCAGTGAGACCTCGTCTCTACAATAAATCAAAAAAACAAGCTGGGCATGGTAGCACACACCTGTAGTTCTGGCTACCTGGAAGACTGAGGTGGATGGATTGCCTTAGCCCAGCAGGTCAAGGCTGCAGTGGCGGTGAGTGTGGCACTGCACTCCAGCCTGGGCAACAGAGTGAGACTCCAAATCGAAAAAAAGAAATTGGTAAACACTACAAATCAGGAATTTTCCCCTCCCTGACAAGAGTTAGTTTCCAAGTCATTTTTTATTTATTTATTTATTTATTTATTTTTGAGTTGGAGTCTCACTTGGTCACCCATATTGGAGTGTAGTGGCCGCTCCCGGCCACTGCAGCCTCGACTGGCTGGGCTCTGGTGATCCTTCCGCCTCAGCCTTCCGAGTAGCCAGAATTACAGGCGCGTGCTACCATGCCCAGCTAATTTTTTGATTTTATTGTAGAGATGAGGTCTTACCTGCCCAGGTGGGTCTCAAACCCGCGGGCTTGGGCAATCCACTCACCTCAGCCTCCCAAAGGTGCGGGATTACAGGCTGAGCCACCGAGCCCAGCCCAAGTCATTTTTTTAAAGGAATTCACTGCCTCCTATTAGCCTTCTATTGAATCACCCAAGTTACTCCATTACTTTAGTTATAATTTTTTTTTATGTACCAAGAGAAGTTTTTGTACATATGTAAAATATTGGTATTTTTTCTTTTGATTTAATTGCTCTTATTTTTCACTTTTTCTCCACTAACATGGAAAATATGATTATTGTCATTTTTATCTGGTTAGGAATTTCTAAATAACACACATTGTTTTTTGTTCATTTTCTCAGTTAGTACTGTGTTATTTATATATAAATTATTTTGATACTAACAATTAGACAAAGTTATGATTATTGATGCAATCTCATTAACTACTATTAGGGAAATAAAAAACAAGTTTAAATTGCACATAATTTAATTAAACCAACTCAATAAAGGAGACAATAGGCTTTTATAGCTTAAAAAAACTGGCTTTTCAAAAATATCTAAAATAATTCATAAGTATGAGTAATTATATTTAGTAATGTTTTCAGAATTTAATTTAAAGAATTAAATAAAAACTGATATGACAATAACCTTCATTTTGCTTACTGCATACTTAGAAAAGTTCCTGTCACACAGTAGACATTCAAGAAATATATTTTGAAATAATGAGTCAATTAAGGTCAAGAATAAGACACAATAACTGCTATTACACATGAAATTCTATATTTTACTAGAAGTTTTAGCCAATAAAATAAAAATAAATATGATTTAGAAAAAAGACAATATAGTCATTTGCAGACTTTTTTTGTAGAAAATCTTAAGACAATTACTGTTATAAACTAATAAGAGAATATGATAAAGTTGTTAAATATAAGCACAATATACAAAAATCAAAGGCATCAATATATACCAGCAATAACCCATTAGAAAATGGAAAATAAAGATGCCATTTACCATTCACAACAAGAACAAAAAATATAGGATTATTAGAAAAAATCTGAAAAATATACATGAAAACACTTATGAAGAAAAATCATCAAACTTTATTTTAAAGTATATAAAAGCATTTAAATAAATGTTCGGAATAGGCAAGACTAAAATATCAAGTAATCTATAAAATTCAATGTAACGCCAATAAAAATCCCCAATGTGAGTTTTCATGGAACTTGAATATTGATTCTAAAATTCACATGGAAGAGTAAAGGTTTAAGAATAACTAAATCATTTCTAGAAAAGAAGAACTTTCCTTAGTATATGCAAAGACTTAAAAAATACAAAAATTGGGCAGAGCAATATTAGAGCAATTTTAGAAAAATAGATCAAAGAGGCATAAAAAAAGCCCACAAATAGATCAAAGCATAGGTGGAAACCTACGTGATAGAGAAAACACTAAAATTACAGGGGAAACAGTGGACTGTTCAACAAAAAGTGTTGGAATCACTGACCCTCCCTATGGAGAAACAAAACTAAATTTTGGCCTCATGCTACACACACACACACAAAACTCCAAATGGATTAATGTGGTAAAGTCCTAAATGTAAGTCCTACAAATTTAGAACCAATAGAAGAAAGATCAGCTTGGGCAACATAGCAAGACCCCATCTCGACAAAAAATAAAAAATTAGCCAGGAGTAGTGGCAGGTACCTATAGTTCCAGCTACTTGGGAGGCTGAAGCAGGAGGATCTCTTGAACCTAGGAGTTTAAGACTGCAGTGAGCTTTGGTTGTGCCTCTGCACTCCAACCTAAGTGACAGAGTGAGATCTGTCTCTAAAAAAAAATAAAAAATAAAAATAAATATTTATGATCTCAGAGTTATGAATTCAACAAGATACTAAAAGTTACAGATGGATAACTTATTGCATACTGTAAGAGATACCATAAATCAGGTAAGGCAACTGATATGCTTAGAGACTATATTTGCAACACATATAGCAAAAGGCTATTGTCTTGCCCTGCGATTTCCTGCCTCCTGGATACAGAATCCGGAGGAACACACTCTCTTTCTCCTCCTCCAACAGAGCAGAGCAGGGAAGGACCCGGATGGAAGGGAGGCCAAAAAGGCCCAGAATTCGTACAGATACCAACATTCATTACAGAGGAAGTCCCAAGGACCACAAAACATATGCAAAAATGCTCAGTTCCACTAACAGTTAGGGAAAGCAGTTAAAACAACAATGATAAATGATTTTACATTCATCAGATTGGGAAATATTGACCAATGTGATTTTATCAAGTGTTGGCTATGGTGCTGCTAGGAGCGTAAACTGGTACATCCACTGAACAGAGTATTTTGGAAATGGCTAGTAAAGTAAAAAATGTGCATGGCCCCACTTGACCTATGCAGTATTCTCTCTCTCTCTTTTTTTAATTGGAGTCTCACTCTGTCGCCCAGACTGGAGTGCAGTGGCACGATCACAGCCACCGCAACCTCGATCTGCTGGTCTCAGGCGATCCTTTCGCCTCAGCATTCCAAGTAGCTGGAACCACAGGCACGCGCCACCACGCCCTGCTTACTTTATTTATTGCAGAGAAGAGGTCTCACCAAGTTGCCTAGGCTGATCTTGAACACTTGGGCACAGGCAATCCTCTTACCTCGCCCTCCCAAAGTGCTGGGATTACAGGTGTGAGCCATTGCATCCGGCAAAATAGTTTTACTCAGAGTGTTTAATCTGATAATCATGAGGAAACAACAGACAAATCCAAATTGAGGGGCATTCTGTGAGACAGCTGGCCTGGATTCTGAAGTGTCGATGTTATTTAAAAAAAAAAGATGAGCCAGGCACGGTGGTTCATGCCTGTAATCCCAGTACTTTGGGAGGCAGAGGCAAGAGTATTACCTGAGCTCAGGGGTTCAAGACCAGCCTGGGGAACACGGCAAGATCTTGTCTCTACATAAATAAAAAAATCAGCTGGGCATAGTGGTTCCAGCTACTTGGAAGGCTGAGGAGGAAGGATCACCTGAGCCCAGCAGGTCGAGGCTGCGGTGACCATGAGCGCGCCACTGCACTCCAGCCTGGGTGACAGAGTGAGACGCCAACTCAAAAGAAAAAATTTACCAGATTAAAGGAGACCAAAGAGCCACAGCAACTAAATGCTATGCCTGTTTCTTGTTTGGATTCTGGATTTAAAAAAGATTGTTGGGAAGCTGGCTCGGCGGCTCAGCCTGTAATCCCAGTGCTTTGGGATGCTGAGGTGAGTGGATTGCCTGATCCCGCAGGTTCGAGACCTGCCTGGGCAACCTGGCGAGACCGCATCTCTACAATAAATAAAAAAAAAAATTAGCCAGCTGTGGTAGCGCATGCCTGTAGTTCCAGCTACTTGGAAGGCTGAGGTGGAAGGATCGCCAGAGCCCAGCAGGTCGAGGCTGAGATGGCCGGGAGCGGCCACTGCACTCCAGCCTGGGTGACAGAGTGAGACTCCAACTCAAAAAAAAAGAAAAAGAAAAAGATTGTTGGGAAAATGAGAGAAATTTAGATATTAGATATTTTTGATGTATACTAGACATAGTATTGTGTTTATGCTCTTGTCCCAACCAAGGAGCCCCCAGGTACTCACATAGTCAGGATCTGTAGCAGGCTGTCAGATCCTTAAGAAAGTTCTGAGCCCAGGACTAGGGTAGGGGTTACTCGGGGCTGAAGGGATTAGCAAAGGCTTGTGAAGTGGATAAGGCTGTGACCTGAATAATTCAGGTCTCAAATTCATCCCCGTTAGAATTCTCTGGATGACTGCCCAGGCCCCTTTGGCAGGAGCCAGCCCCAGTTCCGGGTTTTTGCTGGACTTCCTGCATATGTGAAGGAAGTTTGGGGCTGAGCAGGGTATACCCTGCTGGGTCCAGACAGAAGTCTTTCCTCACCACCTCCAGGTCTGTCTCCATCACCTGCTCCCACTCAAGACTTTAAGATTCTGGAAGCCAAGAATCTGCTCCTTCAAGAGACACGGTCTGTGGATCCCGATGTTCTGGCTGAAGGTGAGGAGCCAACTGGGCTTGGGGCTCCAGACTGTGCCCCAGGAGGCTGCTTGTGAGGACAGACCCCAGGAACAGGATCTGAGGCCAAGCCAAAGAGGCCAGTTACTGATGGGGGCTACACAAACCCAGAAGCAGCAAGCCAGTTGGAGAGGGAATGGCTGGAGAGGAGGGCCCTGGGAGAGTGGGCAGGCACAGCTTCTGCTAACGGAGTCTCTCTAGGACTCCTGGGATCCTTTACCCACCACATGTCAAGACTTGAGAGCTGGTGGAGTTCTCAAGGAGGCCACGTGTAAAGGGAAGATGGAGGTTACCCATCAATCCTAGAATTAGGGGCAGAGTGAGGGCAGTGTTATGAATAGAGTGACTTAGGACTTGTGTTTATATTTATCTGAGGCCTTGCTTGTATTTCTTTCTAACTCAAACCACAAGAAAATATTCCCCTTTGGGAAAAGGAATCATCAGCATCTATTTAACATCCTGTCTATAACATTTATGAGTGTCCTCTGTTTGCCAGACACTTCAGCGCACATAGAAAGACATCCAGGGACAGGTAGGATACCCTTTCTGGTTCTCATAAGAGATCTTTTTTTCTTTCTTTTTTTTTTTTAAGTTGGAGTCTCACTCCATCCAGCTGGAGTGCAGTGGCACACTCACAGCCACTGCAGCCTCGACCTGCTGGGCACAGGTAATCCTTCTGCCTCAGCCTTCCAAATAGCTGGAATTACAGGCACATGCCACCATGGCTGGCTAATTTTTTTATTTATTGTAGAGATGAGGTCTAAGTTGCCCAGGCTGATCTCGAACCCGTGGGCTCAGGCAATCCTCTCACGTCAGCCTCCCAAGGTGCTGGGATTATAGGTGTGAGCCACCATGCCCTGCCTTTCTCCTCCCTTTTTCTACTTCTCTCCTTAGCTCCTCTGTCTGGAAGGCTGTTTAGCTTTGGGCTAAGTATACATGGTCTTGGAAGTCAAATGATCAGGTCAAACTCAGAGCTTTGTCAGTGACCAACTGTGTGACATGGGTGAGTCATTTCTTTCTCTTTGGGCCTCTGTGTCCCAATCTGCAAAGTGCAGTAGAATCCACCTCACAGGGTCACCTTAAGGTAAACCACATAAGAACTTAGCATAGTGTCTATGCTTAACAAGCTTTAGCTATTTTTATTAGTCATTCAACAAGCATTTTATTCTAGGACCCAATGTGTGTCAATGAGCATACTAGGTGCTGCTAGGGATAGAGATGAATGAAGCATCCCCAAGGACTCACAGTCTAGTTTGTTCATTTGTTGATTGATTCAGTGAGACAGTCAGTAAATATGTATTATGTCCTACACTGGCACTGGAGATGTGAAAACATAAGACACAGTCCTTTTCTCCAAGTTTCTCACAGTTTGGTGGGGAAAACACTGCAGCACAATATGATTGGTGCGATGAAAGTGGGGGCAGAGAAGCCAGTTTCTGGGAGGGTTCAGGTTGTGAAGGATCCATCCAGTTTGGGACAGGGCTATGGATTTACACAAAGACTCTTTGGCAAAGGTAGGTCTGCTTTCCTCATTTTTCCAACTGACAGGCGTGCTTCTGCCCCAGGGCCTTTGCATCAACTCTTCTCTCTACCTGGAGTGTTCTTCCCTAGGATATCCCTGTGGGCTGCTCCTTCTCCTCCTTCACAGCTTAACTCAAGTGTCAGGAGACCTTTCTTGGCCAGCCTATTTTAAGTGGCTACTCTAACCATCAGTAGCCCCCACCCCTACCTCCAAACACATATGCCCAGCACTCCCATCTCCCCCCACTTCATTTTCCCCCATAGCAGTTATCACCCCCTAAAAAACTGAACAGTTAACTTATTTGCTTCTTGTTAAACCCAAGATTTTAAATCCGAGAGACAACGAAGAGCCAGCTCCGATGCAAACACACGAGGGTCTTTATTCAGGCTCGAGTCTGGGCTCACGTTTGAAGCCGACGCAGCAGCTTCAGGGACGAGAGCCCCGATCCAGTATGCAAGCAGTTTTTATGCACAATTGCAGAGGGAGGGGAAAGGACTTTAAACTTGTTTTTACATGATTGGGTAATTTCTCCTAATGGGTATGGGGGCACTTGGGATTGGTAGGTTTATTTTCTGGTTTGCGCAGGCTCTAGCTTAGTTGCCTGTGATTGATGGGAAATGGCTAAACGGCAGAGTGGAATGCCAGATAAGCTAGGTTTACACAGTCACTGCGTGTAAATTAACTTTGGTATGGGAGCTGGAGGTTTGAACCAACATAGAGCCCACCAGGAGAGTGGCTAGCGCCTCAGAGTCTACTGCAATCTAAGTAAAGGAATGTCCGGGAGGGGCTTATTGCTTAACATTCACACACTGCTAGCAGCAGTTGCAGAAGTAAAAGAAGCCAGCATGGCAGTTGGGACAAACAAAAGCTTAACAAAGATCTAAATACAAACACTGCTTAACTTAACGCTTCTTTTACAGCAAGTATAGTTGTCTTTTGAATTTCTTGGGTCTCTCACTTCTCTATTTCTGTCTCCTCTTACCAGAATGCAAGGTGTCGTAAGAGCAGAATTATCAACTGTTTTGCTCATTGCTGTATCTCTAGTATTTAGAACAGAGCCTGGCACATAATAGGGGCTCACTATTATGAGTAGGCGTTGAGTAAGAGAAGAAAGATGAGGGAATAACAGATGGAAAGGAACGAGAGGGAGAGAGAGAGAGAGAGAGAGATGGAGGAGACAGAGAGAGACAGAGACAGAGTGAGAGACATTGAGATTGAGATTGAGTCTGGTATGTCTGGGGAACTGAAAAATTTGCATCAGCCTTCTTCCCAGAAATGCATTACAGAGTGGGTGGCATAAAGTATGGCTGGAGAGGGTGGGGGACAGGTCATGACGGCCAGGTAACCATGGGGCAGACAGATACTTCCGACTTGGACTGGGTGTGTTCTGTGCTGTCACGGAGGTTAGGAAGATTGACCTAGGAAGAGGAGAAAGCCACCAACCCTGCTGGGATGGTATCAGGGAGGGTGTCTGAAAAGAGTCAGTGCCTCCTCTTAGGCCCAGGGAAGGAATTCAAATACTATCCTAGGCATGATGGACAGTCTGGAGGCCTATCCCCATTCCCTCTGTCCTCACAGAGATGCTGAGTTATAAACTCTCAAGGGCAGGCACTGGAGGAGTTAGCTTTGCATTTGCTTCCTGGGAGCTCTGCCCCACAGGAATTGCTCAGGAAATGTTTGCTGGGTTGGATTGGGATTGAGACAATGGGGTGGCCTTGAGGCTTGAGGGCCACCTGGGAACTTGCCTGACAGAGCATTAGCCTGTTCTAGGGTTTCTCCCTCCTCCAAAAAAGGAGTGACATTGCAGTGCGGAAAAACATGTAGACTTTTACCAGTTAGGAAAAGAGAATGAAGAACATTCTAGGTGGAGGAAACAACAGAAACAAAGACAGAAAGGAACGTAGTTCATGGTATATTTCTTGAGGGTAGACAGTTTAACTGATTAGACTTTCCAAAGGTAAAACAAAACATGTACTTGCTATACGTAGGTGTGTGGGTTTGCATTCTTAGCCAAGGTTATGGTGAAAGTTGGACCCAAGCCTGCTATTGAACAATAGCTGTAACATATGTACAAACTATATGAACATCATAAACCGACAGCAAGCTAGGAAGAGCTGTGTTTATCTTTAGAGCAAGCTGCCAATTTACAGAGTAGCTGAAACCCTGATGGGGCTGCAGCTCCCTCCAGATTTAATTGGTTCATCCATCCAGATCATTCTTTTTTTTTTTTGAGTTGGTTTCACTCCGTCGCCCAGACTGGAGTGCAGTGGCCGCTCCCAGTCATCGCAGCCTCGACCCACTGGGCTCCGGTGATCCTTCCGCCTCAGCCTTCCGGGTAGCCAGAATTACAGGCGCGCGCTACCACGCCTGGCTGATTTTTGATTTATTGTAGAGATGAGGGCTCGCTAAGTTGCCCAGGCGGGTCTCGAACCCGCTGGCTTAGGCAATCCACTCACGTCAGCCTCCCAAAGGCGTGGGATTACAGGCTGAGGCACTGAGCCCAGCTCCATCATTCTTTTATTCCACACATATGTATCAACCACCAAATATTCATTGGACTGTCTGCCAGCTGCTGATAATATTATGAAGAAGAAGACAGACAAGTGTCCTACCCTTAGATGTTTATATTCTAGTAGAAGGGGGAGGAGACATAAACAAGTAAATTGAAGAGAGTTAAAGTCAGATGCAGTGGCTCATGCCTGTAATCCCAGCACTTTGGTAGGCTGAAGAGGGAGGATTGCTTGAGGCCGAAGTTCAAGACCAGCCTGGGCAGTGTAGCCAGACCTCATCTCTACCAAATAAAAATTAAAAAATTAGCCAGGGTCAGGCATGCCTATAATCCCAGCACTTTGGGAGGTCAAGGTTTGAGAGGATTGCCTGAGGCCATGGGTTCAAGACCAGTGTGGGCAACTTGGTGGATACCTCATCTCTACAATAAATTAAAAAATTAGCTAGGCATGGTGACGCATGCCTGTAGTTCCAGCTACTTGGAAGACTGAGGTGGAAGGATCTCCTGAGCCCAGCAGGTCGAGGCTGTGGTGGCTGTGAGCGTGCCACTGAATTCCGGCCTGGGTGACAGAGTGAGACTCCAACTCAAAAAAAAAAAAAAAAAAATTAGCCAGGCACGGTGGTACATACCTGTAGTCCCAGCTACTCAGGAGGCTGAAGTAGAAGGATCACTTGAACCCAGGAGTTCAAGGCTGTAGTGAGCTATGATCATACCACTGTACTCCAGCCTGGGTGACAGAGCAAGAATGGTCTCAAAAGATAAAATAAAATAAAATAAAAAATAAAGATAATGGCAAGTGCTATGAAGGAAAAGGATAAGGTGGCCTTGGAGAGGTGGTCAGGGAAGGCCTCTTGGGAGAGATGGCATTTAAGATGAGACCTGCAGGATAAAGAATCAAGAACAGGCCGGGGGTGGTGGCTCACACCTATAATCCCAACACTTTGGGAGGCTGAGGTGGGATGATTGCTTGAGTCCAGGAGTTCAAGATCCACCTGGGCAATATAGTGATAATTTGTCTCTACAAAAAAGGGGGGGTGAGGGGAAGAAT